GCGACAGGCAGGCGGTGGTCCGCGGCGAGCTGCCGGCCCTCCTTCTCGCTCTGCAGGTCACGGACCTCGACGTCGCGTACATCGCAGACTGCGAAGGCGTGCACCTAAACTTCTACAACGGACACCCTAACTCGCCTGCTGGACCTGACGCTGACCTCTGGCACCAGGTTGGAGTCGAGCAGGCTCGACGATCAGGAGATTTCGTTGTGCTTTTCGTCAACTCACACGCGACGGGCGAGGACATCGCCCGCGGCCGTGCCAACGCTTCCTTCGCCTACGGCAATACCGTCGCAGATGAGCTCGCCCATGTGGCGGCCGATGAGCACCGAGTAGTAAAAACACATAAGGCAGAATATTCAGATAATCGGGAATGACGCCCACCTCGTTCGCACGAGACTCCTGAGGCCCAACCTCGAGGCTCTAGAGTTCGAGCGGGCCAAGCATCATAACTTACCAGTAGGAAGCCGACCGCCTAGGATAACCAGAGCCCAGCCTGTCCGACTTCCTGCCCCCGCCCTGCGTGCCGCTTTTGGGGCTCCTCATCAGCTCGACGACACAGGTCGGAAATTTATTATTTGTAAAGGTTTCGCTTCTGTCAGCACCCGTGTTGAATGGCATGCAACAGAGTGCTTTAACTTCGAAAATGTAGATGGCACTTATATGAGATCCCCCCCTGGGTAACCAGGTACATGCAGCTGGGAAGTGGATTCATGTAGCCCATCATCCGAGGTTCCACGCTGGGCTGGGGATTTGGTTCCGCTCCCTGTGCGGGAGCTTCGTCTCTCAGCAGATCGGGGAGCTAGCAGCAGTCTGTCAACCCCCCCCGGCCACAGGGCGCGAGTACTTACGACGTATCAGTTCGGGTCTCTGGCCCAAGGTTCTCGGCAGAGCTGAGCAAGCCCAGAGGGGCAAGCAGCGCCTGCAGTAGGTGCAGGAGGATTTTCATTATATCGCTACGCGAGGCAGAGACTCCAGAGACTCCTCCTCCTCCTCGTCCTCCTCCGCCTCCTCCTCCATCCCTCCTCCTCCTCCTCTCCTACCAGCTGAGCGAGGGGCGCTCCAGGTACGCTGGCAGGGCCGAGGGCTTCGCCACCAAGAAGGTCCTCAAGAGCGGGGCGCAGGACGAGAGGTCGCCGAGGCTCACCCCTGAGGCGGCGTCGATGGCCAGGGTGGCCAAAGCCCCGCGGGCCGCCGCCCATGGGGGCGCGCCGCGTGCACGGCTCGAGGCACTAGAGCGCCTGCCCGTGCTCGCGGCCAGGGCGCCCCAGAGGGTCAGAGGGCAGCAGCAGGAAGCCGAGCTCGAGGAGCACAACGCGGAGGTCGAGGGGAGCTACTGTGAGGCCCACCTCAGCGCCGCTGCTGGCAGGTGGCTCAGATTCTTGCAACACGGCGCGGTGGCGCTGTGGGGCCCGCTGGTGCTGGCGACCGTGGCTGACCTCGCCGAGCAGCACGCCAGCGACCTCCCGCGCCGCGATCTCGCCGAGCGCGTGCGGGAGTTCGACGCGCGGGTGGCCGCGCAGCTCAAGGGCGGGGCGGCTGGCCTCCACGCGGTCACCCGGGTGCCGGTAGGGTGGCAGGGCAGCCCCTGCAGCGGCGACCGCGGGCCCGCGGGCCTGGGCACAGAGCTCGAGCAGCTCGAGGCCGAGTGGAGCAAGTTATGGAAGGTCGAGAGCGACCGTGCGGACCTGCAGGTGCCGCCCGATTTGGGCGAGCGGCCTCCGCGGCCGTCGGTGGAGGAGCTGCGCCGCTGCCTGCGCTCCTTCAAGAAGGGCACCGCGGCGAGCTTCGAGGCGATCAAGCCGAGGCAGCTACTGGAGCTCAGCGACGAGGGGCTCGAGGCGCTCATCGACATCCTGGTGGCGGTGGGGCAGGTGGCAGAGTGGCCGCAGCTGCGCGCCAATATTGTCTTCTTGGCCAAGCGGCTGGGCGGCGTTCGGCCCGTCGCCGTCGCCCACGTGCTGGCCAGGGTCCAGGCGCGGCTGCGCGAGCCGCTCGCGGACGCCTGGGAACGCTGGAACGACCGCCCCTACTTCTGGGCCTCCAGGGGCAAGGGATGCGAGAGGGCGGTCTGGCAGCAGGCGGTCGAGTGCGAGTGGGCGTCGGCGCGAGGGCGCGAGGCTGGAGGCGCCTCCAGCTGGGTCTCCGCGCTCGTGCTCCTCGACCTGCTCAAGGCGCGCGAGCAGGTGCAGCGCGGCCACCTGATCCGCGCGGCGGTGAAGACGGGCTTCCCGCTGTGGCAGCTCAAGCTGCAGATCAGCCTGTGCAGGTCCCCGAGATGGCTGGTTCTCGACAAGGCGGTGAGCAACCCCATCAGCACCGAGCAGGCGGTGCTACCTGGCGACGGGCTCGCCACGCTCATGCTCAAGATGTTGTTGATCGAGCCCCTCGACCGGTTGCAGGTGCTGGCGCCCTCGGTACCCCTATCGGTCGTGGTGGACGACATCATCCTGAAGAGGGTCGGGGGCCTGCAGCGCACGGTGGCCGAGGTAGCAACGGTGGCGAGGCGCCTCAAGAGGCTTCTTGGCAACGCGGCCCTGCACGTCGCCACCGAGAAGTCCAGAGCCCTCGCCAACAACCCCGAGGCGCGGCAGGAGCTGGAGAGGAGGTTGAGGAAGCCGCTGGGCGTGCAGGCCACGGGGCAGGAGCGCAACCTGGGCGTCGACTTCAGCGGCGGCAAGAGGCTGGGCCGAGGAGCACGCGCGGGGCGGCTGCAGCAGGCCCAGCAGCGGCTGAGGAGGGCGAGGATCGTCAAGGTGACGAAGGCCAGGAAGCAGGCGGCCAGGGGGATCGTGAAGACCGCCCTGCACCCGAGCATCGGCTACGGCACGGCCATCACGGGATGCGCCAGGACCGAGCTGGATCGGGCCAGGTCTCTCACCTTCGTGGCGGCTTCCACCACCGCCGCGGGCAAGTCGAGGACCCTCGCGCTGATGCTCCAGCCAGGGCTTGACCCGGTCGTGGAGGCCACTTGCAAGCCTGCGCAGATGCTTCTCAGAGCGGTCTGGGAGGGCTGGGTGCCGCGCCACATGGCCGTCTTCTGCCTGCAGGACGCACGCGCGGTCACGTGGGCACACGTCCAGGGTCCTTGCGCCGCGACGGTGCTCTCGCTGCGCAGGATCGGCTGGGACGTCGTATCCGCCAACAGCTGGAGGATGGATGGCGGCGTCTTCCTCGCGCCGTTCGACACCTCCCCGTGGGTCGTCCTCGAGCTGGTGCGGCGCGCCATTGAGCGGTGGCAGTGGAGGCAGGTAAGCAAGGCACCAGGCTGTGCCCATGTGGCTGGAGGAGGTGTGCTGGAGCCGCTCGTCAGACTCCCCTCGACGGGCTGCGTCGCCGGCGTGGCGGACAGGAGGGCTGGAGCCGCCGTCGGCACCAAGGTCAGGCTCACCCAGCTCGAGCGGGCGCACCTGCACGCGCTGGTCGTCAACGGGCAGTGGCCCTGGGCGCGCAAGGAGGAGAAGGGGCTCGCGACCAGCGCCGATTGCCTGCGGTGCGGCGCCAGAGGCACGCTGCTCCACCGCCATTGCGATTGCAGCAGCTGGCGCGACGTGCTGACGCTCCCGAGGGACATCGCGGAGCTCAGGACGAGGAGCCACCAGCCCGAGGTCAGGCTGCTGCTGGAAAGGTGCCTGTGGCCCACGGCGCCAGGGCTGCGCAGGCCGCGGGCCAGTGACCAGGTCTGCTGGCGCGGCAACCACGGAGGAGGGGCGCTCCCTGGCGACGAGCTCATCTTGGACGGCTCCGCGTTCGAGGCCGACTTCGACGGCTCCACCTCGGTTGGCTGGAGTGTGGTCTTCCTCCAGGCTGACGCCGACCGCTACCTGGCCTCCGTCGCGGGGCAGCTGGGCGGCGGCTACGTCGACGTCAGCGGGGGCGAGCTCATGGCGGTCATCATGGCGCAGAGGTTCAGCCTGGGCGGCGTCGCCCTCGTCGTCGACTCCAAGTACGTGCGCAACGGCTTCTACAAGGCAGGGCGCTCGACCACCACCGCGCACGGGTACTCCTGGGCGCACTTGTGGCGGCAGGCGTTGGTCCTCATGGACGAGAAGGGCGGGCGGGGCAACGAGGTGCACGTGCGCTGGGTCCCCGCTCACCGTACGAGGCGGCAGGTCACGGACGGCGCCATCAGTTATCGCGACTGGCTGGGCAACCATTATGCGGACCTGGCCGCCAAGGCCGCGGCCGCCCAAGGCCGCGCGCCTGCAGAGGACCGCAGCAGGCTCAGTTTCGGGAGGTAGCAGCCCGAGCTCGTCGCCACGCGGTGCACCGCGGTTGGCACGCGGGTTGGCGGAGGCGACGCCACCCACGGCAAGGAGCGACCACAGAGGACGGCGCACGAGCGGCGCGAACCAGCCGCACGGATGGCCTGCAGCTGGCGCGCAGAACCTGGGGAAGACCGATGGTGCGAGGTCTCCAGGTGGACCAAACGCGCTGGTGGGTGCCCTGGCAACATCATCGGCGACGCGGTGCGGGCCAACAACCTGCTCGCGCAGCGCGGCCTCGCCGCGCACGACCTCGTCGTCTTTCACCCCGTGCGCGACGACGGCCTGGAGAGACGCCTGCCGCTCGTGGCCTGCACCAGGTGCGGCTACACGGGCGCCGCGCGGGCTTGCAGCTTCAGCCTGGAGTGCAAGTCGCCGCCTTCGGCTGCGGGCAGCGCAGCCATCGCGCGCATGCGGGCTGGCCTGTCGCCGAAGATCGCGAATGGCGCGGCAGTCGTCGCGCGACGCCTCGGCAGCGACGCGGAGACGGCCGAGGACATGAGGTGGCGAGGAGGAGGCAGCACCGGTGGCGGAGGCGGCGGCCCCAACCGGCGGGGCGGCGGCGCCAGCGGCTCCGACGCGGCGGCGGACGACGCCTTCTCGGACGCGGAGGCGGCAGCTGGCGCGGGGGGCAGCCTGGGGGGCCCAGTCCCGCTGGGAGCGGGCCCCCAAGGCACAAGGACGGAATCCGCCAGTTGGCCGCAGCTTGGGAGAAATTGCGGTGGCCCTGCTGCCTCGATGGATGGCGCGGAGGCCGCTGGCGAAAGCGCGCGCCCCACGGGCCGTGAGCACGGGCAGCCGCAGCAGCAGCTGGCTCGAGAGGATCGAGGGCGCGACCAGCCGCAGCAGCAGCAGTCTCGCGGGCGGCGTGGCGGGGGGGGACGAGGCAGGAGCAGCCGCGGCGGCCAGGGGCAGAGCTGGCAGCAGCAGCGGCGGCGATCCAGGCCAAAATCCCCACGGCGACCCACGCCGAGATCCAGGCCAAAATTCCCACGGCGACCCGCGCCGAGATCCAGGCCATAATTCCCGCGGCGACCCACGCCGAGATCCACGCAGAGCGGGCCGCGGTCCAGGGCGCGCTCAGCCGCAGCAGCAGCAGCAGGCTCGCGTGCAGGGTGGCGGCGCGGACGAGGCAGGAGCAGCCGCGGAGACCTGGGGCGCGGCTGCGACCGCGGCGTCGGCCACCAACCTGGACCTGGACGCGCTAGTGCACGGCGCTGGCGACGCCGCCAGGAGGGAACGCTCCCGCTCCCCGCGCGGCGACCTCGTCGCCAAGGTGGCATACTTCTTTGCCGCCTGCCGCGGCGCTGGGGAGCGCGAGGGCGACCCGCGGCAGCGCGCGGCGGCGCGCCTGGCGCTGGAGGGGCCTGGCTGTGAGCAGGCCGAGACCGCGGGCGACGGCGCGCGCGCGGAGCGTGGGAGAGCGCAGGTGGAGAGGGCCCAGGTCGGGCCCGATCGATCCGCCCGCGCCGCAGGGTCCCCCTCGAAATCTGGTGTGGGCGGCCCTGGGCGGCCTGCCCCTCGGTTTTCCTGTGGTGCCGTGCCGCCTGACCCGCGGGCCTGAGCGGGGTGGGCGCGCCCTCTTTGGATCCCTGCGTGGCTCCAAGGAGGTCGTGCGGGCGTCGGGTCCTGGGCCTCGTCGCCACGGCCGCGCGCGGGGCGCGCGGGCGTCTGGGAGCGGGTGGACGGACGTCCGCCCCCTATGCCGCGCTGATTCTCCTCTTCCTCCTCCTCCTCCTCCTCTTCCTCGTCCTCTTTGCGTGCACGTAGCCGAGATAGAGCTGCTCGAAAGCGGGCGCCCGGAAAGGGGGGAGGGAGGCGGGGAGGGGAGGCGGGGGGCCCCTAGCCCTCGGCGTGATGACTTGCTCACCACGTCGACCGCGCCAGAGGTCCAGGGCTCACCTCGAGATTCCTGCGGCTCGATTCGATTCACTCCGGTGGCTTTTCCGATTCCGATTCGATTCGGCTTCGGATCCCGATGTGCGCTCCGATTCCTCCTGTGGTGGCCTACCAGCCTGCCGATGTCCGCCGATTCGACGCCTCCTGACTCGGCTGCCGAGTTCCGCCGATTCGTCGTGTCGATCGCCGATCCGGCTTATCGATGCGATTGTGGCCCCCCCTGGAGGTCTGAGCCCGTTCCCCGGGACAGGCTTCTCATCCCGAGTTGTTTTTGGCGGCCCCGAGGCCTGGCATGGGACCCTGGAGGCCCAACCCTGGACAACCCTTCCCGTCGTGTTTTTTGCTCTGAACGACACGAGGGGGTCTGGGGAGGGAGGGAGGGAGCGAGCGAGGAGCAGTAGGAGGCCAGAGGAGGAGCGAGCGAGGAGGAGGAGGAGGAGGAGGAGGAGGAGAAAGCCAGAGGATGAGGAGGAGGAGGAGGAGGAGGAGGAGGACGAGGACGAGGACGAGAGACGAGGACGAGGACGAGGACGAGGACAACGACGAGGACAACGACGAGGAGGAGGCCAGGCGAGGAGCGAGCGAGGAGCAGGAGGAGCACCGGGGGCGACCGCCCTCGGCGGCGCCGCCCCCTCCGGGAGAGAGGCCGGCGCCCCCCGGCGTGCTGCCCGCCTGGGGCCTCGCCGCCCCCCCCGCGGGCGCCACCGAGCCGCCGCCCGCCGCGGCCGAGGCGCCCGCGGCGAGCGCGGCGGCGCCGGCGGCGGCGGCGGGCGGCGAGGAGCGGCTGGATGAGCTTGTTTCTCGGTGGGGGGCAAGGTACCCACACCTCCACCCTTCGCCCGTTTTCCCCTTTTTGGGGGGCCTCCTGGGAGGCCGTCGTCGCCACCGCCGGATTCGCCTCGAAATTCTGGGCAGAGAGCAGCACCCCAGGAGTGGTCCAGGGAGCTTCGGTATCGGTACTTTTTGGTTTCCCCAGGATGAGCCTGTTTTTTTTGCTGATTCCGCCAAGTTTACTTGCATGGACGAGGCTAGGCGTGAGCCGGAGGTCAGCCGCAAAAGACTTGCACGTGCAGAAGCCACGCAGGTCGAAAGGCACCTGCACGCCAGCGTTCGTCTGCAGAGGGGCGAGGGGGGGGGGGGGCGGGGGGGGGGGGGGGGGGGGGGGGGGGGGGGGGGGGGCGAATGCCATGCAAGTGTGCAAATAAACTTGCCTGAAGCCAAAAAAAAACTCTGGGGGGGCCTGCTCTTCTCGAAGAAGAAAAAGCCGCCATAGACAAACTGTTGGCGCTCCGCGCGGATTTCTTGGATCTGCCCTGGGCCCCCCTGGCGGCGGCGTCGGGCGGCGAGGAGCGCCTGCAGGGGCCTGCTCTTGTCGAAGAAGAGGAAAATACGCCAGAAACGTAAACTGTTCGCGCTCCGCGCGGATTTCTTGGATCCGCGCTGAGCCCAGATCCGAGAAATCCGCGCTGACCTCGAGCAATGAAAAAATCATGACGGGAGGTTTTTCACAATTTACAACTTCATGGGGGCTCCTACCGGGCCTCGGGACCGTCCAAAAACGATTCAGGATGAAGGACCAGTCCTGGGGAGTAGGTCGAAACCTCTGGGGGATAGACGTCGTTAACAAAATCACGACGTCGGGGGTCTGTGGGGGGGGGCCCGCTCTTGGACTCGTGGACCGACGGCGCAACGGCGCGGCCGCCGGCGCCCCAGCACGGTGCCGGACCAGTCGGGCACCGTCGGGTGGCTGCTTAGATGCGTCTCGCAGCTGAGGTAGCGAATTCAGCCTCGCTGCCCCGACGCGGCGGCGCAACGCAGGTGCCCGAGGAGGAGGCCCGCGCGCTGGCAAGCGGTCCTGCCACTCCAGGCATGCACCGCCCATCATGGCCGCAGCGGTCTCGGAGCTGCCGCCGCAGCGAAGGCAGCAAGTGCACCCCGCGGGGCCCCCTGGTGCCCGGGGGGGGGCCCGCATTTCGTCCCAGGCAGCGGCACAGGCAGATCAACATCACCGCTTGCCATTGCATCAAAGGGAGAATCGGGCCAGATCGTCCCGAAGTCGTGGCCCCCCCCCGCGTCCATGCCTGCGTAAGGGGGGCGCCGCGTAAGTCACCAAGCGCGTTCCATTACTCGCAAAGTGCCGACTCGCAAACGTCAATAAAAAAACATGTGTTCGCCTCGTTGTATTGGAGCGCAGATCTCCCGCGCCGGATCCGGGCCACTTGCGAGTAGTAATTTAGCGAGTCGTGGAGCGCGCTTGTCTAGTGAGGTAAGACCACGCGGGCATTCCTCGCGAGCTGTGTTTTTGATTTTGCTTGGTGGAGCAGGGCGCGGCGCGCTCCCTCGGTGGCCCGGGGCGGAAGCCGGTTGGCCCTGTGCCAACCTCGTGAGATATTATGTTTATCTCCCCGTTCGAGGGGTGGGGAGGAGAAGGAGGAGGAGGAGGAGGAGGAGAAGGAGGAGGAGGAGGAGGAGGAGGTCAGGCGAAGAGAACCATGCACATGCACCGGTTCTGGCCAGGCCCATCTTGGGCCCAGGATCGGTGCATATGCTTTCCTGGCCAAGCCAGGAAAGCATATGCACCGATCCTGGGCTCAGGATGGGCCTGGCCAGAATCGGTGTATGTGCATAGTTCTTTTTCCTCTAGGAGGAGGAGGAGGAGGAGGAGGAGGAGGAGGAGGAGGAGGAGGAGAAGGAGGACGAGGAGGAGGAGGAGGAGGAGGAGGAGGAGGAGGAGGAGGGGAGGAGGAGGAGGGGGGCAGCAGCACAAGGAGGAGGAGGAGGAGGCGGAGGAGGACGAGGAGGAGGAGGAGGAGGAGGAGGGGGAACGAGGGCCGAGACCCTCACGGAGCAGGAGGAGCACGAGGATGATGAGCATGCAGCAGGAAGTTGGGGTCCATGGCTCTGGGGGGGGAGGAGGAGGAGGAGCTTCATAGGAGGAATACGTACCGATGCCGCTACCCTTCTCTCGTTTTCGTCCTCGTCGCCACGGCTGGATTCGCTTCGAAATTCTGGTAAGAGCGCACCCTGGGAAAGGTCCATGGAGTAGCAGTAGCGGTATCTTTCGGAGGAGGAGGAGGAGGAGGACAATGAGGAAGAGGAGAAGGAGAGTCGAGGAGGAGGGGGAGGAGGACGAGGGGGAAGCGGGGAGGAGGAGGCGGAGGGGGGAAGATCAGGAAAGGTGCAATAGCCTGCACGTAAGTGCCCCGCGTTGACTGCTGGAGGAGGAGGCGAGGAGGAGGAGGAGGAGGAGGAGGAGGAGGTGAAGGAGGAGGAGGAGGAGGAGGAGGAGGGAGGAGGAGGAGGACCAGTGCAAACCCAAGACTCATCAACGATGTTGGAATAGATCAGATCCTCCCTCCAAACTCCCTCTTCACAGGCTCCTACACGGATACATTTTCACTGAGGGAAGTGCCCCGTTTGAAGGCAACCGTTTGAAGATCCTGAAGCGTACCAAAACATCATTCTCGGAACTCCAACGCCAAATCGTGCCAGAACACCGTTCCTGGGACTTCATCACCACCGCGAATCAACGTAGATGTTGCGCCATGACAATCCTGAGCCGTTCCAAAACACATTTCTGGTACTGTTCACGGACACCCGTGCAACTGTTGCAAACATTTGAAACGAATGTGCACGGCGCTAAGGCGAGTGATACATCTTGGAAACGACCCGCCCTCATTCCGTGAAGCATTCGCAACTGTTTACATGAATGTGCGCGTCCGAAGGCGAGAACCACATTTTGAAAACGACCCGCCCTCATGCCGTGAAGCTCCTGCAAACGTTCGGACGAATGTGCGCGCCGCGAAGGCGAGAACCACTAGGACGAGAGCCTCATTTCCAAAATCACTCGCCCTCCATGCGTGAAACTGTCGCCGATGTTCGAGCTTCAGGATCCTCAATGGTGAGGGGGCCTCCAGCGAAACGCCCGGGCCGCCCTTCCGATTGGCTTCGGGGTGCGACAGGGAGGAGTTGTTCACACTGCAAAGGGGAGGCGGAGAAGGAGGAGGAGGAGGGGGAGGAGGAGGAGGAGGAGGAGGAGGAGGAGGAGGAGGAGAAGGAGGAGGAGAGGAGGACAGGAGGTGGATAAGGACGATCAGGAGGTAGTGGCAGGGCAGGGCCCCGCGTCGATGGTCTGTTATGACTTGTCCCTCGTTGTTGGAACTGCTCGTGCCCCTCGCGGGCCTCCGGCACGGGCCTTCGGAGGCCCCCGGAGAGGCCTGCGGATGCCGCCGCCGTCGGTTGCGAAGCTGTCGGCGGCGGCGTCGGCGGCGCCCACAGACGTCCGACGTCGTGATCCATCACGACGCGGCTCCCCAGAGGTCCAGAGCCCTTCCCCGGGACTAGTTCTTCATCGAGGGTCGTTGTTTGACGGTCTCGGGGCCCGCGCCCGCTGAGGGCCCCTGGAGCCCGCAAGCGTCCACAGCCACTCCGCCGTGATCTTCGCAGCGGGGACGAGGAGGACGCGGAGGAGGAGGACGAGGAGGACAAGGAGGAGGATGAGGAGGACGAGGAGGACGAGGAGGAGGAGGACGAGGAGGAGGAGGAGGAGGAAGAGGGAGGAGGACAAGGAGGAGGAGGAAGGGAGGGAGAGAGGCAGGTAGGAGGATTGGAGTGTAGTGCGAATGCCCCTGAGGGTAGGCATAAACCTGTGGAGGTGCTCGTGACAGGTGAATGACAAACCCTCTGGTCCCAAAGCCTGCGCAGGAATTATGTTTGGCAACTGGTGCTGGTGGGTTGTATGCGTGGTCAGCATACCCCGAGACAGCATCTCTGTTCGACACATTAGGTTTTGCAGGGGTGTTCACAGTAGCCCATATCGCCTCCTCCCGTACAAGTGATAAGGCATGGTGCGTGTCTCACACCGGATCAGAGGATGGGTTGGCATCCTCCAGAAAAGCGTCAGACGCTGGCTCCCTGACCTTGTATGGGGGGCCCGGGGCAGCTCGCCGGGGGCCACAAGGCAGGACGGCTTGCCACCCTGGTTGGGACATGTGCGCCTGCTATACCGCAGGGGGGATCGCCATCATGGCGGTGACGGGGGGGCCCGCTCCGCATCAGGGCAGCGTGGAGATCGGCTCTGCAGCTGGCCACGGCGCCACGTTGGCGTTGGCAAGGGAGGACCTGCGCCATCGCAGGTCGGATCACCACCCAAAGGTGTACGGGGCGGACCCCCTCCCAGACCCCCGACGTCATGATTTTTTCATGACGTCGACCCCCAGAGGTCTGGACCCATTCCCCGGGACTGGCTTTTCATCCCGAGTCGTTTTTTGACGGTACCGAGACCTGGTAAGGGCCCCCCCAGAGGCCGAAAATATGCAGAAACATCCCGTCGTGATTTTTCGTATGACTCGAGGGGGTCTGGGTCCACTGCCGCCGATGTCTCTGTTGCGGCGTGACGAGAGGAGAGGGACCCCACAGCAGGGCACCCTTCCACCTGAGGGATGACAGGGAGGCCCTGCTAGGCAGGTAGAAGAAGGAGGAGGAGGAAGAGGAGGGGAGAAGGAGGAGGAGGAGGAGGAGGAGGAGGAGAAGGAGGAGCAAGGCGATGAGAGGAGGAGGAGGAGGAGGACGAGGAGGAGGACGAGAAGGACGAGGAGGACGACGAGGAGGACGAGAAGGAGGACGAGGAGGACGAGGAGGACGACGAGGAGGACAAGGAGGAGGACTAGGAGGACGAGGAAGACGAGGAGGAGGACGAGGAGGACAAGGAGGAGGAGAAGGAGGAGTAAGCTGATGAGAGGAGGAGGAGGAGGAGGAGGAGGAGGAGGAGGAGGAGGACAAATTCTTCGGGGGCCGCGGGCGGCGCGACGCGGCGCCGCCGCCGCCCTGCGAGGAGCCCGGCGGGTGGCCCGCGCCGCTGGCGCCCGCCGCGCCCGATGAGGCGCCCGCGCTCGCGCCGCCCGGCGTGCGCGCCGGTGGCGCCCGCACGCGCGTCGGCGGGGTGCGGGCGCTCGGCGGCGAGCCGCGGGCTCGGCCGGCTCGCGGAGCGTCCTGCGGGTGTCGGGCGCCGGCGGGCGCCACGGGAACCACCGTCGTCGCGGGTCCGAGGACTCCCATCTCCGATGTCGTCGAGGACGCCTACGGCGAGTCACCGCCGCCCCCTGCCATCTGGAACCATCCATGTGGCCGAGCGTCGCTGCCAAGCTTTGCTAAGCTATCGGGCCATGTGTTCCCCCAGCCGTTGTGGAAACCCTTCAGGGAACACGCGGGAGAGACAGAAGAAGCGGAGGAGAGGGATGAATCATAGAGAGGAGGACGAGGAGGAGGCGGAGGAGGAGGAAGAGGAGGAGGAGGAGGAGCAGGAGGAGGAGTTGGACACTGAGGGCCTTGGGCCTCCTGGGAGCTTCCTGCGGGCCTTTTGGAGGCCTTTTGGAAGCCTCCTTGGGCCTCTTGGGGGCGTTTGGGGGCTTCTTGGGGGCCTCCTGGGGGCCTCTCGGGCCGTCTTAGGGCGTTCCTGGCCCGTCTGACGCTGTCGAGAGCTGTCTTGGACGCCTCTCTGAACCGACTTGGGGCTCTCTTAGGGCGCTTCAGGGCCTTCTTGGAAGCCATCTTGGGCGTCTTAGAGCCCCTTGGGCCGTCTTGAGACCCTCTTGAGGCCTCTTGGGGCGTCACATGTCATCTTGGAGGCCTTCTGGGCCATCTTGGGGCCATCTTGGGGAGCTCTTGGACCGTTTTGGACCCTTGGAAGGCCGAGAAGAAACGAAGGGCAACATCTTCAAAAACCAATGGGAAACCAGTAATTGTGGCCTCTTCCAGTCCTCCTGGAGGACCTTTGGAGCCTCTTGAGACGTCTTGAAGGTATCTTGGAGGCCTAGTGGGTCATCGTGGGCCGTCTTGGAGGCGTCTTGGACGGACTTGGACGCATTTTGGACCCTCTTGGGCAGTCTCGAAAGCCATGTGGGACCAATGGGGGCCGTCTTGGAGGCCATCTTGGGCGTCCTGCAGGCCTCTTGGGCCGTCTTGAGGCCCTGTTGGGGTCGTCTTGGAGGCTTCTTGGGGCGTCACGGGGTCATCCTGGATGCCATCTTTGGGCGATCTTGGGGGCCTCTTGGGCCGCCTTGGGCGTTCGGAGGGCCTGAAAGAAGCAAATGCCAAAATCCTTCAAAGCAGTAGGAACATCAATGGTATTTGCTTCTTCGGGCCCTCCTGGAGCACCTTTTGGAGGCCTCTGGAGCCGTATTGGAGGCCTCTTGTGGGCCTCTTGGCCCGTCTTGGAGGCTTCTTGGGCGAACTTGGAGACATCTTGGGCGCTGATGGGCCGTCTGTCTTGGAGGCTCTCCTGGACCATCTTGGGCAAACTTGACAGCCATCTTGGCCGTCTTGAAGGCAGACTTGGGACATCTTGGAGCCATCTAGACCAGGAAAAACTTGTGCAGCCACCTCGAACGCATACTTCTGTGTGACCGGGGGCATCGGCCGATGCCCCAGAGGGAGTTCCAAAAGAACCCAAAACCGCCAAACATCCAGCACGCCATGCACCCCTGCGGATCGAATGGCCTTCGGCCCGCCCCGCCACCGTTCCTGGGTTGTCGGTGTGACGCGTATTGGATGTTCGTTGGAATCTCGTGGGAGGCCTCTCGGGGGCCTCCTGGAGGCAGCTTTGAGGCCTCTAGGGGAGCGGTTCTGGGGCTTCTTGGGGCCTCTTTTGGGATTCTTGGGGGCCTCTTGGGACCTCTTGGGGGCCTCTGGGGGGTCTCCTGGGGGCCTCCCGGGGGCACCTCTGGGGGCCTCCTGGGGGCCTCCTGGGGGCGCCTGGCTCGCATCTTCGGTCCGTGCTCCCTCGCTTGGGCCCCGTCTCCGAGAGAGCTCCGGTCTCCGATGTGGCGACGGTTTCGAGCCGGTGCTCTTGTTCCCTCCGGGCGCTGCCCCCCAGGGGGCCCGGCACCGGGCCGAGGGGCGGTCCGAGACGGGCCCAGAGCAGAAGGAGGTGCCCACCATATCCCCGAGAGAGAGAGAGAGAGAGGGTCGGGAGGCCCAGAGCCGCGGTGCTCGAGGGAGTCGTGTCGGAGGTGGCTGCGCGGAGGCAGCACGCGCACGCGGTGACTGAGGCACGATGTGTGTGTGTGTGTGTTCGGGCACTCTGCAAGCCTTTATTTTCCCTGTGCTGGTGATAATAAAGGACCCCCCCCTTTCCACGCTAGAGTTGATTATCCACGGCCAATAAGACTTTGGTCAGGGGCGCGGGGCGCGGAGGCCGAACTTTTTTATCACTGAGTTCACCATCGAGGTTAAATTCCTTCTTATGTTAAGATATCCCATGGAGGTCAAGCATGATGAAATCTTGATTCCCATTGTTTGTTTACAAATTGGATCTAATATGTTTGGAGCTTTGGATTTTCTCCTCCTCCTCTTCCTCCTCCTTCTCGTCCTCCTCCTCCTCCTCCTCTCTCGCTTTCTATTTCTCTCTCTCTCTCTCTCTTTCTCTCTCTCTCTCTTTGTCTCTGTCTCTCTCTCTCTCTCTCCCTCTCTGTCTTGCTCCTTCTCCCCCTGGACCCCTGAAGTGTTTTATCGCTGTGGTTTACTATCCACGGAAACCGAGGCACATGAGGCACCCAACACGAGCAGATGCAAATCTTAATTTCCATTGTTTGCTTACAAATTAAATGTAATAGGTTTGGAACTTTGTCTCAAGCGAAACAGTCAAGGATGTCTTAAACGAAGCGAGAGATTTGTCGAGGATGTCTCAAGCGAAACAAACACGCTTTCTCGGGCCTCGATCTTCGACCTTCGGACCTCGATCCTCGATCCTCGGACCTCGCCGCCGTCGATCCTCGGACCTCGATCCTCGACTCTGGGATCTCGATCCTCGATCCTCGGACTTCGCTTCTCGATCCTCGATCCTCGGCTTTCGGTCCTCTTAACATCACCTCTTTCCCTCCCACATGCTGGCCTCCGGTAGGCGACATTTATAACCCCCCCGCGACCCCGAACTTTATTATCCTTGTGGGGTGATTATCCGCCGCACAGGGTTATATAATCACTTCCCTCACTCCGCCGGCCCTGGAGCCCTCTTTAGGGCCTCTTGGGGGCCTCCTGACCTGACCGCGACCTGACCCGGACCTGGCCGGGGTACTTTCCGTCCAGGGGCCCCCAGTGGCCGCTCCGCGCGCGCGAGCTAGAAGTGTTGTCAACCAGTTACCGGAGACCTTAGCACGCCTCTGGCCCGTTGGGCCGGCGAATTCAATGACACTGTGAACGGTAGAGTGGTTGGGGACGGAGGTGGCTTGCTGTTGCTGCTTCTTCTTAGTCGCAACAGCACCGTCCGTAGACATTCGTCTCAAGCTTGTTGTAGTTTCAGCGCAGCGTTCCGCGTCAGCGGTCGGCACTGCAATCCAAGAAGGAATTTAATACTGATGGTCGATTCCTGCGCTGCGAGACACTTGATTCTCAGGAAACACCTGCTTTAGATTGCACTGTTGTGGCTCTGAGGCGCCATGTGCTAAGGTCCAGATCATGAAAGTATTCGCTTTGATCCCCGCTCGCTCCATACTCGCGGGTCCATCGAGCGTGGCGCGTCGAGCGCCCGGCGGCGTGTCGCGGGATCAGGTGCCGGTCGTCTTGTCGTCGTCTTGTCGTCGTCTGTCGTCAGGCGTCCGTCGAGCGCTCCGCCGTGGAGCGTCGTCGACGTCGGCGTAGTCGTCGGTGTTGTAGTCGCCGCGGTTTTTGTGGATGGTCGTCGTCGTCGTCGTGCGCTCGGCGGCGAGCTGCGGGCTCGGGCACCCTGGGGGCGGTCCTCGGGTGCCTCCGAAAGCTTTGGACTCCTTTCGGCCCAGACGCCCGGCGGCTCCAGAACATCGAGGCGGCGTCTGCTGTTCGCCATTCTGGGCCTGCGGGCCCCCAGGACAGTCAAACCGACACGCCGGGGAAAGTGTCGAGAAGTCCTGCCGGCGCTGTCGACGACGACGACGACGACGACAGCGTAGACGGACTTTGAAAACAGCGACGACGGCAACAACTATCAGTTTAGGACGATTCGGTCTTACCTGTTCGCGATACCCGCCCTCTCCGTCTCCGATATTCGGATTCGGGGCTATGTCTTTCCCGCCCGCCGCGTGCAGGTGGCGCAGCCGCCAAAGCAGGGGAAGGAAGGGAGGAGGGAAGAGGCAAGGAGGAGGGATAAGGATGGAACACGAGAGTGATTTGCAGGAGGAGAGCTAGGAGCAGAAGTACAAGCGGCATAACCACAGCGGCGGGTCGGGCGGGTGGACCCTCACAGGCAGGCTGTGCGGGCGGGTCCAGACTGTCGGGTCTGCTGGGCGGCTCGTTGAAGCGGTCGTCCAACATTAGTCGCGAGGAAGTTTCGAGCGATACCGCGATTCCCGAGTACATCGTGAGGAAATCCAAAGCGAGAGCGTGATTCGTGAGTCTAGGGGGGGCGCAGCGTCGCAATACATTTTGAGGAAGTATCACGCGAGGGCGCGATTCCTGCATAAAAACTGAGGCGGCCCCGCGCGAGAGCGCGAATTCGAAATACATCGTGCGGAGGTCTCAGGCGGGAGTCGTTGTTGTTGCTGCTGCTGTCGTTGTTGTTGCTGCTGTTGTTGTTGTTGCTGTTGTTGTTGGAATCATTGTGATGGTTGTTGTCGTTGTTGCTGTTGTTGTTGGTGTTCCTGTTCTTGTTCTACACCATGGGCAAGCAATGCAGTTCGAGGACCAAGACTCGCCTTGATAAGAAGCCAGGTGCGAGCCCCGGGAGGAGCATGTGAAATTGAAAAACGCAATGTGCGCCCGAGGGGAGGATCAACAAGTATTCTGTAGGACTGATAACTCGACGACGACGGCGACGACAGCGACGGCGACGAACGTCGACAGACGACGACGGACCCCCGACGACGACGCTGACGAAAACCACCACCACCACGCTGGACAACGACGTAGGATGCTGACGGCGACGGCGACGACGACGGCGACGACGACGACGACGACGACCAGGACGACCACGACCACGACGTCGACGACAACGACGCCAGCCGTGGTGGAGGCGGCTGCGACGGCGGCGGCTGCGAAGACGACGACGATTACTGACGTCGCCACCTGCCTGCAGAGGCTCATGGATGCCCGCTCCCGCAGCCCGAATGGTCTCATCAAGTACCTACGGTACTCCATCCTCGATCATCCCCAGATTTCCGACGTGATGACGTTTTTCACACGCGGTCCCCAAGGCTCTCGACCTGTTCCCGAGACCAGTTACTCGTCCCGAGTTTTGGTTTTACCGTATTGCCCCAGGAGCCGCGTCCAGCCGTGGCGTCGATAATTTTCAGGAACGCCGAAGCAAAGTTACGAAACGAGGTTGCCGTAGCCGTCGCCGTCGCCGTCGTCGTCGTCGTCGTCGTCCATCCGTCGTCGTCTGTCGCCGCCGCCAGCGTTGTCCGCTGTCGTCCGCCGTCGTCTGCCGTCCGTCGTCCGTCGTCGTCGTCGTCGTCCGTCGTCGTCGTCGTCGTTGCTGTCGTCGTTGCTGCCGGTGGTCGTTCGTCGTCCCTCGTCGTCGTCGTCGTCGTCGTCGTCGTCGTCGTCGTCGTCGTCGTCGTCGCTGTTGCCTATGTCGCCGTCCTCGCCGGTGGCGGTGGCGGCCACCGCTTGGGGTGCCCGGCCCGTCCTCGTCGTCGGCGTCGTCGTTGTTGCCCACGCCGCCGTCGTCGCCGGCGGCGGTGGCGGCCCCCGCTTGGGTGTGCCCGGGCCCGCCCTCCGCCGCGCTCCGTGCGGCGGCCGAGGCCGGGCGCCGCCCGGTCATCGGCGATCCCGGAGGAGCGCCCCGGCCGTCGTCGTCGTCGTCGTCGTCGTCGTCGTCGTCGTCGTCGTCGTCGTCGTCGTCGTCGTCAAGGCGTGATTTCAAATGATAGGTTGACCCCCAGGCGGCCAAAGTTGGTTGTCTCGGGCCGGACGAAAGGGGTGGGATTGGGAAAGGGGGGGTTACGAAATCTGCTGCATGCAGCTGGTTTCGGCCCCACCGAGGGGCCCATTCCTCGATACATGGGCAACTCCAGCGCCAGGAGGCGCCGGGAAAATCAGCTACGTGAGCTGATTCTCAAACCCGCCCTTTGCTACCCCCCCCTTTCGCCCGACCCGATCAACGTGTGATCTGGCGGAGGAGGAGGAGGAGGAGGAGGAGGATCTGGCGCATGAGCGCGCGCCCGAGACAGAGGAGGTGGAAACTCTGAGGAGAGCGACGAGGAAGAGGAAGGGGTTGAGCAGGCTCGGCCCCCCCGCCCTAAGCACCCTCTCGTCCTCCTCCCCATACTACGTTCGCCGTCGTCGGATTTCGTTGTCGTCACCGTCGCTGCCGCCGCCGTCGTCGTTCGCGTTCGTTCGTCCGTCCGTCCGTCCGTCCGTCCGCCGTCGTCGTCGTCGTCGTCGTCGTCGCCTGTCCTCGTTGATCGTCGCTCGTAGGTACCGTGGTCGCCGTCGCTTGTTGTCGTCGTCGTTCGGCACTGTTCGTCGCCGTCGCTCGTTGGTGTAAGTCGTTCGGCACTGTTCGTCGTCGTCCGTCGTTGTCGTCGTGGTCGTCGTCGTCTTCGTCTTCGTCGACGTTGTCGTCTTCGACGTGGTCGTCGTCGTCGCCGCCATCGTCGGTGTCGTGGTCGTCGTGGTCGTCGTCGTCGTCGTCGTCCTCGTCGTCGTCGTCTTCGTCCTCGTGCCCGTCGTCGCCGTTGCACCGTTGCTCGTGCGGGGCGGTCGCCTAGGTCTGCGGCTGCGGCTGCGGGCCAACGGGCAGAGCAGCGCACGCAGCTGCTGCTCCGCGGCCTCCTCCGTCCTCGCTGCTCCCTCGCCCTCGGCGCCCTGCGCCTCACCGCCCTCCCTCCGGACTCGAGGAGGAGGAGGAGAAGGAGGAGGAAAAGGAGGAGGAGGAGGAGGAGGAGGAAAAGGATGAGGAGGAGGAGGCACGAACATAAGCTTCTGGCGCTCCGCGCGAGTGTCTTGGATCCGCGCTGGGGCCCCCCCTGCGCTTCGCCGCACGCCACGGGGGGGGGCTTCAGCGCAGATCCAAGAGATCCTCGCGGAGCGCCAGACATTCATGTTCGTGGCGTTTTTTTCTTCGTCTTCTATGGATGCCCTGATACGCCTGATTGGAAACGCAACACGCACCGTGTTCAGAACGTCCGTGCTAGCACGCTGGTCTTGGCCCAGCGTGTTGGCCCACGATGTCCCCGCGGGGCGCCACTTGGATGATCTCTGGCTTTGCTTACGGTCATCGTCGTTTGAACTTTGGTCGCTGATTGATAACCTCTCCTCACCCCTAGTAGCATCTATTCCCTCGTGCCAACCTCTGTTAGCTACGCTAACGTGTTAGCGACGTGGCCTCGCTTACTCAATTGATTGCACTACTCCGCTAAAGCGTCAAACATGCTGGGAGTACATAGCTGAGGGTATAGGAGGTTGGCAGAGGTTCCTCAGGGGTCGGCAGAGGATGCCAGGAGGTCACAAAGCTGTTTCGACCACGACATCAGTAAGCAGGCCCAGGCTCCATCGAAGCAGGGCTTTGGGGGGCCTCTGGAGGCCCAGAGAGGGCTGGACACGTCAAACCGAATCAAACCTCGAACCTCGATCTTCGAGTCCTGGTCCTCGAACCTCGAGCGCTTCCCACCGCTCGCTGCCCTCAGGACCTGCCCGCGTGGCGCGGCACCGCGGGCGCCATCGTGGCGTGCGCCGCTGTGGGGTCAGGCCGGCGGGCGACGGGCTCCCCGTCGTCTTCGTCGCCGTCGCGGTCGTCGTCGTCCCCCTCAGCTTGCCTTCACTTGCTCCCTCCTCCTTGCTCCTCTTCCTCCTGGGCGTCCTCCCCTTCTCTCCTGCTGCTCGTGCGCCTGCGCAGTGCTTCCTGCTCCTCCTGTTGCTCGTCTTCTGGTCAATCATCCCGCCTTCTCCTGGATATCCTCCTCCTCCTCCTCCTCCTCCTCCTCCTCTTCCTCGCCCCCGCCCATCTTCTTCCATCCTTCCCGTCGTAATCACATTATTCCTCCTCCTCATCTCCCTGAGCGGCTAGGCTTGAGTAGCGAAGCCGTCGGGGTTGAGATAGATGCAGATGTTCTGGGCTGCTGTGGCAGTAGGGGGGGCTCCCAAGTGGTATTCGGGGTGGTCTTTTTTGACCACCAACCATGAGAGTCAACTGAACCACGGAAAGCACGATGGTGCGCGCCCCTACGCAGAATCACCGAATCCGCTTTATCTGGAATCCAGGCGAGCCGATGCTGCCGTCGGCGCCCCTGACTGTCGCGTGTAGATGGCCCAGACGGGGCGCTGCGAATGTTGTGTCCACCCGCCGACAGGGCACTCCCATATGGGGCGTTCTAGACAGGGCCCCGCCTTCGAGGATCGAAGGAGTTGCCGTCTCTTCACCGGCCAAGAGAAGACCACATTGTTGGATTCAGGGTTTCCGGAACTTGCCGTAAGCCTAGAAGACCACGAAGATGTAGCTCTCATCATGGACTCCGCGTTGCCATAATAAACGATGCTCGAACATACAACAGGCGAGCACATTCCGGAGTCTATTTCCAGGGCTGACTAGAAGTTCCGACCAAAGAAACGTACCTATGTTGTCTACAATGTGGAAGCACGTTGGGGCGCTGAAGGCAAGGCCGAAACGATGACGCTACGGTTCAGGACCTGCAGCATTGCACATTGAAGATCTCAATTTAGGCGCAGACCTCCGTCGCCGTGTGAGCAGCGTCCAGTTGCTTGGCTGCTGAATGTGTTCAATGCTCTCAGCAGCCACTGGGCAATTCGCACCGTCTGCAGATGCGAGAGGCGAGATGGGGAAACTGTCTGGTGTGTAACTACGCTGAGAGTCTCTGAGGGCGTCGCCCGTGTCCGCTGATCTTGTTCGCTCCTCGCCGCATCAAAGGCCGCCGCAGGGACGAGGCCCTGCAGGTCCGCAGAGCGCGTCGCGCAAACACGTGAGAAACCGTGGCGCTTCACATGGTAGTTGTTCCACATACCGATCAGGGGCACTGCCAGGAGGATAGGCTCAGGGAGGTATGCATCGGCCTCCAAGTGACCATTGATCGCCGATTGGGGCCGAGATGCCACCCCGCCAAGCAGCGGGCGGTTTCGCTACGTGGGGGGGCCTATCGTCGATACATCGGCGATGCATCGCCCGATTCCAGCTCCACGGTTCCTCCTCTGAGCCGCCCCCCCCCCCCCCGAACGTTCCTCTCCACTCGACTAGACGTGAGAGTGACCTTTCGCCGGAGTGGCCTTTGGTGAGGGCCCACTGGGATCCCCCGATCGCCGAACGCGAGGCGGCAGTGGCGTCTTGCGCGCTAGTGTTTGGCCCCCTGGGTCCCCCCCCAAAAGCCGCCCACCAAAGCTCAGACTTCACCAGGGTCACTCTTGCGTGCAGTCGGCTCGCTCTGGTGCATCCCTCCAGGGCGTACGCACTCGGAGAGATCTCTCGGGACTCTCAAAGAAGAAAAAATCGCCATGAACACAAGCTGCTCCCTCGCCTCGCTGCTCCCTCGCCCTCGGCGCCCTGCGCCTCACCGCCCTCCCTCCGGACTCGAGGAGGAGGAGGAGAAGGAGGAGGAAAAGGAGGAGGAGGAGGAGGAGGAAAAGGATGAGGAGGAGGAGGAGGCACGAACATAAGCTTCTGGCGCTCCGCGCGGATTTCTTGGATCCGCGCTGGGCCCCCCCGGCGGCGCCTCCAGCGCCGACCCTGGCGCGGTCCGCGCGCCAGGGAGGGGGGTACAGCGAGAATCCAAGAGATCCTCGCGGAGCGCCAGAAGTTGATGTTTATGTTGTTTTGGTTCTTCTAGACTCAGCCTGCTGTCCCCGAGGTCCTAAACCTTGCGCTCTTCTGCCTCGTCTGAGCTCGTCAGGCTGCGGCCCGACTTCCTCCAGTGCCGCGACGAGCAAACGAGTTTCATCACAGTTGCAGCTGACCGCAAAACAAGATAACTAATGGGAGGCTAAAGCCAGTCCGCATGTTTGGACAGATAAGACGTGTAAGCCCTCAAGCACTCGCTTCTAAGAGAGATTGCCACACTTCGGAACAATTGAGACGACGATGCCGATCATCACCGCCTCGATTGACCCTGCGGGCATGTGTTACACCCACTCAGGCTGTTGCTGCAGGGGCCAGAAGGAACAGGAGGAGGAGTGAGAGGCTGAGAATGAAGAGGACCAGGACAAGAGTTACGCCACTTGTTAGGACAGCAGATGCATACAATGAGGACACGCGAGAGTTCCCACTGGGGGGATTCAAGCATCCACTCTCCCAAAATACCCTCAGACCCCCTTGTCTCCAAGCGTTTGTCAGAACAGCATGAAGCATCCCAAAGCTTTCCTCTTCCTCCCCATCTCGCTCCCTCCTCTTCTTCATGCCACCCCTGTTCTCCAAGACCCCTTTTGACTTCAGAGCCCCGTGTAACATAGGGGAACTTCAGACACATCCGAAAGCCCTCTTCGACGTCACGCCTGTTTTGACCGTACGCCGCAAGAGACAAGATCACAGGATTCAAGTTTGCTACATCCGTATGCGCCACGAGAAGAAACGTTATTGACGTTTCGCGTATCCCCACCAGCCCATCCAAAAACAGATCGCCAGGCGAGTTGCCTTCTTTAATCAGGGAAGTGGAGGAAAGAAGCGTGCAGTGCAACAAACGCCTTGGATGTGTTTTTTCTCGGAGGTCTCTTGGAACCATCATGGGTCTCTCTTGGGTCCTCGCGGAGCCACTTGGGGCACTCGTGTTGTGGGGCTCTTTTGGGGGGTCCAGGGCCCATCCGGCCTCCTCGCCCTCCCCCCCTCAGGTCATCCCTACCGCTCATGCCTCCCCAGCCACCCTCCTGCCACCTCCCTCCTCCTCCTCCTCCTCCTCCTCTTCCTCCTCCTCCTCCTCCTCCTCCTCCTCCTCCTCCTCCTCCTCCTCTTTCTCCTCCTCCTCCTCCTCCTCCTCCTCCTCCTCCTCCTCCTCCTCCTCCCGCACGGCAGGCCTACAACAGGCGAGCTCCCGCCGTGTCTCACGCAAGGGCCAAGGGATTACCCTGTCGGACAGGGGTAAGACCTCAGAGAGCCTGACCCTGAGCTTGGACCTCCCTCCTTCGGGCGGGGCCACGACGGGGATACATCGTTCCAGAGCGTTCCGCGGAGCGCTCCCAGTGCGCTCCGCCCTCCTGGATGGCGGCGGCCGCGGCCGGCGTTCGACACGCCCCGCTCCGATTTGTTGTCCTGGCCCCGGCTTCGTCGCACGCCTCCTTCCCAAGTTCAGGAGGGGACAAACACACAGACACAATTCATCGTCGATTCCTCAGGAAATTATTCGGGAGTATGGGAAGTGGGGGGAAGACGAAACTCCAGACGGTATGGAGGAATGTGGGGAGTCATAGGATCAGTGTGTATTTATTTGTGTGTTCCTTGGGCACATTTGCAAGCCTCTCCCCGGGGCAGAGCAGCGCAGGCGTCATCTCCACGGCCGTGCTCTTCGTCTTCATCGGGACGCGGCGCACGGCGGGCGTGGGCGTCGGGCCAGCAACGCGCAGAGGGGGGTCGGGGGAGGGGGGAGGGTTTCTTAGAACCACCCCTGCTTCTCAGAAGGCGCGGGGCATGCCCGTAGACGTAATGCCGGCGCCTTCCAAGAAGCAGCCTCCTTCTAAGCAGCTCTCCCCCCTCCCCTTACCCCCCCCGTGCGGGCCACCAATCGCCGGCTGCTTCGGGTGCCCCTGGCCCGAGCTGCGCCCAACCCTCCGCTCCATTCTGGATTCCCTGGGGCCCTCTGGGCCTCGCGGGGGGGTCCTATGGAGGCCGTCGGGACCTCCTGGGAGATCCTGGGGCCACCTGGGGCCAGGGGCACCTTGGGTAACACCCGAACGGGGGGGGGGAGGGGGGGGGGGCGGCTGGCGGAGATTGCGGGGGTCGCCTCGGGCGAGCGGAGGGGGTTTGGTTTGGGGGGGGAAGGACGCGGCGAGGCAGGGAGGCCAGCGGCGCACACGGCTGGTGGGAGGAGGAGGAGGAGGAGGAGGAGGAGTGAGGAGGAGGAGGAGGAGGGGAGGAAGGGAGGGAGGGAGGAAGGGAGGAAGGGAGGAAGGGAGTAAGGGAGGAAGGGAGGGAGGAGGAGGGAGGAGGGGAGGAGGGAGGAAGGGAGGAAGGGAGGAAGGGAGGAAGGGAGGAAGGGAGAGAGGGAGGAAGGGAGGAGGGAGAAGGGAGGGAGGAGGGAGGCAGGGAGGAGGGAGGAGGAGGGGGAGGAGGGAGGAGGGAGGAGGGAGGAGGGAGGAGGGAGGAGGGAGGACGGAGGGGAGGGGAGGAGGAGGGAGGGGGAGGGGGAGGGGGGGAGGGGGGAGGGGGGAGGGGGAGGGGGAGGAGGAGGAGGAGGAGGAGGAGGAGGAGGAGGAGGGGAGGAGGAGGAGGAGGAGAAGGAGGAGAAGGAGGAGGAGGAGGAGGACGAGGAGAGGAGGAGGACGAGGAGAAGGAGCAGCAGCAGCAGGAGGAGGAGGAGGAGGAGATGGAGAGGAGGAGGGGGGGGAAGGGGAGGAGGAGGAGGCGGAGGCGGAGGCGGAGGCGGAAGCGGATGCGGAGGGGGGAGGAGGAGGAGGAGGAGGAGGAGGAGGAGGAGGAGGAGGAGGAGGAGGAGGAGGAGGAGGAGGAGGACCAGTGTGAACCCAAGACTCATCAACGATATCGAAACACTTCCCTCCAAGATCCCTCTCCAAAAGGCCCCATGCACGGGGTCATTTCCACTGAGGGAATGGCCCCGTTGGCGGGCAACCGTGTGAGCATCTTGAAGTGTGCCATAACACCATTCTCAGGACTTCACCGCCACGAGTTAACCTGACTGTTACGCACTGGCGATCCTGAGTGTTGCCAGAAAGCCATTCATGGGACCTCAACACCGCGAATCAACGTTACGTAATGTTGCGACCTGACAATTCTGAATCTTTCCAAAACGTCGTTTCTGGTACGTCAACTACGAGAAGCAGTGAAGCTCTTGCAAAATTTGAAGTCGAATGTGCGCGACGCTTAGGCGAGACATATTTTGAAAACGACCCGCCCTCAATCCGTGAAGCTCTTGCACATGCTGAAAACGAATGTGCTCTGCGCTAAGACGAGAGCCACAGCCAAAAAACCGCCCACCCTCAGCCCGTGAAGATCTCATCTTGAGAACCCCCCGCCCACACCATAAAGCTCGTGCAACTGTTAAACACGCATGCGCGCGGCGCCGAGGCGAGGGCCACGTTTTGAAAACCACCCGCCCTCCAACTGTGAAGCTGCTGTCCGTGTTAAGCATCAGGTCATAAGTGGTGAGGATGTCTCATGAGAAGCGCCTGGCCCGACCTTTCGACCGGCCTCAGGGTGCGACGGGACGGTGCGGCAGCGGCAGCAGCGGCCCCCCGCTGCGCCCTGAGAGGTACAGCAGGCTAGGAAGGCATAGCCCCCTCGCAGCTCATTTCTCCCAGCTCTCGTTGCGGCCCGCTCGATCGGGCGTCGAAGGCGTCCAACGAAAGCGAGGGGGGCCCGCGGCTCCGAGGACTTCGCCGAAACCAGAGCCTGGCACGCTGAGACACGGACCGCTTTGGGCTCAGGAGGAGCTCGGGAGTCGGGTCGCTCCTGAGGTTTATGTCGCGGGGCCTGTTCGTGGTTTCAGCCCGACGTGGCCCGAAAGGCCCCTGCGTTCCTTACGGTGCGCGTTTTTTGTGGCAGCATGCCGTTTGCAAGGGCGAGGCAGCAACCTTCAGCTGCTCGGGGTGCCACGGTGCCACCGCTATGGGGGACGTAAGGCCGCGGGTGACACTCGGCCCCAAGATTTCTGGAGGCCGTCGTGCGGGCACGCCTGGATTCCCAGGTTGTTGGGCCTCCTGCAACCAGCCAGGAACACAGGGGTTTGCTTAGTGGAGGCAGCCCGCCCACAAAAATGGGTGGAAGGGGGGAAGATCTTGACAACGAGCACGACGACGACAATGACGACGACGGCGACGGCGACGGCGAGTCAATCATAACTGTCGCCGGTGCAGCCTGTTGGTGGCCCCTTTGGAGCCATCCTGAGTTGAGTGGCTCCTGAGGCATCTTGTAACAAGCGACGCATCTCGTCTCTACCCTGAGGTGTCCTCGTGAGGCCCACGCAGCCCGTTTGGGGGTCGTTCGGATCCTCTTGGGAATCCAGACGAACTCTACGCTTTTCGCGAATCCGTGGGCCCCAAAGTTCAAGCCCCCTTCCCTGGGAGCAGATCCCCGTCCTGGATCAACGTTTGATGGTCCTGGGGCCTGCCGCCCGCTCCCCCTTCCTCCCCGTCGTCGGCGTCCTTATTCGGAGTTTCTGCGGGCTACGCGGTGCTGTGGTGGTGAGGATCGTCGGACGGTCATGGACCCCGGCGGCCCCCAGAGGTTGAGATCGGCGACGGGCCACCAGGCTGAACGAAACCAATCCCGTGGACGCCTTGGGCTCGCACGGGGCTGCCCGGGCTGACGCGTGGCCGACCCGGCAGGCGCTGAGTTCCGAGCCCGGGCTGCGAGAAAGAGCGAGAAAGAGAGAGAGAGAGAGAGGAGGGATGGAGGGAAAGAGGGAGGCGGGAGCGGAGGTCATCGCCGTCGTCGCCGCAACCGTCGTCCCTACACGTGGTCCCACCCTACTCCCTACATGTTCGCCGATCGTCACCCTTGTTTGCCCGTAGTACGCCGAGGGGAGAAAATTGCTCTCGTCGCCAGCGGCCACCCATGGAGTGGGTGCTGGGTAGGTTGGGCCTCGGAGCGCGGACTCCGGCGCCCCCTACCCCGAACAGGGCGCGCGGAGCACGGTCTCCTTGCGCGTCCTGTTTCGCGCACTTAGCACGCCACCGGGGCATGGCCCAGACCGTTGGCGCTGTTCTGGCTGCTGGCACTCCCCTGTTGGGGAGGTGTTCGGCCGCTCCTGCAGGTCCCGCATTGCAGGAGTCAGTCCTGTGCGGTGCGAGCGCCGAGCTCGAAAAAAAGAAAGTCTCGGCGGAAGGTTGTTGGCCGTTTTCGGTTTTCGGGGGCCCTCGCCGGGCCCGGCGACCGTCAAAAAAAAACAAGTCGGGGCGAAAAGCCCGCCCTGCTGGGGAAAGTGTCGGGACTGCCAGGGACCCCGCATTGAACAATTCCTACAGGATGTCTGGGACTCTTCCCCAGACGTCCAACGCTGTGACTATTTCACAACATGGCTCCCCAGAGGTCTGGACCCCTTCCCTGGGGCCAATTTTTTCCCAACCATCCTGCGGTGGTGGGTCTTCGATTTGAAGAGACGGTGCCCCGCGTTCCTCCTCCTCCTCCTCTCCTCCTCCCTCCTCCTTGCGTTTCACCCGCCCAGCACGGCGTTTCGTGACCTTATAGGGAGCTCCACCGAAGGCCCCAGTGATAGGGTTCGCATGGCGGCCTCGGGTCATTTCGGCACACCTCTCACGAGGATCGTGGCCCCATAGGGAGCTCCACCGAAGGCCTCAGTGGCAGGGTTCGCATGGCGGCCCCGCGCCGTTTTGGCGCACCCCTCGCACGGTTCGTGGCCCCATACGGAGCTCCACCGAAGGCCCCGGTGGCAGGGTTCGCATGGCGGCCCCGCACCAGTTTGGCGCACCCCATCACACGGTTCGTGGCCCCATAGGGAGCTCCACCGAAGGCCCCAGTGGCAGGGTTCGCATGGCGGCCCCGCGCCGTTTTGGCGCACCCCTCACACGGTTCGTGGCCCCATAGGGAGCTCCACCGAAGGCCCCAGTTGCAGGGTTCGCGTGGCTGCCCCGCGCCGTTCTCGCACACCCCTCACACGGTTCGTGGCCCCACGGGGGGGTCCATTGCATGCCCCAGTGGCAGGGTTCGCATGGCGGCCCCGCGCTATTTTGGCGCACCCCTCACACGGTTCGTGGCCCCATAGGGAGCTCCGCCAAAGGCCCCAGCGGCAGGGTTCGCATGGCGGTCCCGCTTCATTTTGGCGCATCTCTCACACGGTTCGTGGCCCCATTGGGAGCTCCACCGAAGGCCCCAGCGGCAGGGTTCGCATGGCGGCCCCGCGCCAGTTTGGTGCACCCCTCACGCCATAGGGAGCTCCACCGAAGGCCCCAGTGGCAGGGTTCGCATGGCGGCCCCGCGCCAAGTTGGTGCACCCCTCACGCGGCTCGTGGCCTCATAGGGAGCTCCACCGAAAGCCGCGGAGGCAGGGTTCGCATGGCGGCCCCGCCCCATTTTGGCGTTCCCCTCACACAGTTCGTGGCCCATGAAGGAGTTCCACCGAAAGCCCCAGTGGCAGGGCTCGCGTGGCGGCCCCGCGCTATTTTGGCGCATCCCTCACACGGTTCGTGGCCCCATAGGGAGCTCCACCGAAGGCCCCAGTGGCAGGGTTCGCATGGCGGCCCCGCGCTATTTTGGCGCACCCCTCACACGATTCGTGGCCCCATTGGGAATTCCCTTTGCTTCGTCCCACCTGCCGTGCGGTTCTCACATTTGCGTATGGTTGGGTCCTTCGCCCGGATGATTTCCCGAGTCGCCGGGGACCCGCAAGCCTCGCTGAGACCTAAAAAAGGTCACCACCAATTCCGTTGCGATATTTTCACGACGCGGGCATGACTGGTCCTCTTCCTCCTCATACTCCATCGAATGTACTCCTCCTCCATCCCTCCTCCTTATAAACAAGTCGTGCTTGTCTCACACCGCACCCCTAAATGTGTCGGTGAGGCGGGCCAGGCGTGTCGCATGGGATGTCCTTACCATGTGTGACTAGAGTTCAGAAGTCTACAACATATTCACGGATGGAGGACGGTTTGTTTTCAAAGTTAGATTCTCGTTTTAGCGCCGCGCGCATACAGCTTCGCCGAATGAGGGCGGGTCGTTTTCCAAATGTGGTTCTCGTTGTGGCGCGCAGTTTGGTTCCGTTATGGCTTGCAGCATGTTCAAGGATGGAGGGTGGCTCTGTTCCTAAATGTGGCTCGCTTCAGCGCCGCACATATTCCTCGTAAGCGTTTGCAGCAGTTTCAAGGATTCGTACGGTTGAAGTTCCAGGATCGGCGTTCTGTTACGATCTAAGACTGTCAGGGCGTAACATTTACATTGTTTCGCGAAGCTGAAATTCTAGTTTTTTTGCACGATGCAGGGTTGCCAGGATGCAGAAGTCACGTTGATCCGCGGCGTTGGGGTCCCAGGAATGGCATTCTGGCGATATATATATATATATATACATACACATATATATATATATATATATATGATTGTCAAACGTGTGCCTTCTAATGCGCCACTTCCCGCAATGAGAATCTCTTGTTCTAGGGACCTAGGAAGAGGGAACTTGGAGGAAGGATCTATGTCAACATCGTTGATGCGCGTTGGGTTTGCACTGGTCCTTCTCCTCCCCACCACCTCCACCTCCCTTTGTCATCTCCCCCGCCACGCAGGCGGAACGCAGGCAGGGCGCCCGGCGCGCCGCCCGCGAGGAGCGCCTGGAGGCGCCCCAGCCGCCGGCGCCGCGGTCGCTTCCGCCGATGCCGCCGCCGTGCGTCATCATCGCAGGTCGTCGTTTTTCTTTGATGTCCGACGAGTTGTTTGTTTCAGCCGGCGTCTTTTCCCACCCGGCAGGTAGGGTTCGTCAGAGTTTCCAAACAGAGCCCCCGACCCGCTCATTTTGCATACCGCGACCGCCAGATCCCCAGGTCCATCCAGTATCCAGGGTACCCCGCCCCCCGCCTCGTTTTTGTTGTGATTACCGCCCACCCTGAATGCCGAGGCCGCAAGATCCCAAGGACAACCCAGGATCCAGAGTATCCGTCTCCCTGCCTTGCCTTCCACGATTCTTATTCTTACGACTACCACTACTATCACTACCACTACCGCCACCACTACCACCACCACTGTTCAAACATTCCGCACCATACCATTATTGCTACTACCACTACGAGTTCGATCAGAGCATACGAATGCATACATACATACACATATATATATATAACGGTTTAAGAGACTGGAGCAGAACATACCATACGATGATCTGTTCGGATGAAGCAGAACAGCCTTTGAGATAGTATGGTAGAGCGTGCTATTACATTCTAGAATGTAGAATGATCTGGGTATGTGTATCACTAAGCAAACGAGTATATGGGACCCAATCATAACATTACATAACATTGCCAATCACTTAATCTATTACAACAGGCCAGCACTGAGTCGAACACTTTCATTTTGGAACCCATTCTGATATATCAGAACGGTAAGTTGCCCAGCGAAGAACCCAACCGTATGTAGCTGCATGTACCGCAAGGACGGACGGACGTGATACAAAGGAGAGGGGCGATCACACAACGCGTGCCATACGATATGGTTTCTTCTCATAGGTGTGGCGCAACAGAATACATGTCACTCAAGCCATACGGAGGAGTGTGCCACAATAGGGCGGGGCTGTGACACGGGCGTTGCCGGCAGTGCCTTCGGTGGAGCTCCTTGCGATGCCACGAAGCGTGTGAGGAGAATGGCGAAATTTGCTGGTGGACCGCATGCGGTCGCCCCCCACCTGGGGCCTCCGGTGGGGGTCCCTGTGGGACCACGCAGCGTGCGAGGAATACGCCGAAATGTGCTGGTGGACCGTATGTGGTACCACTCTTTAAGGCCTTAGCTTAGTTTGAGCTACCTATTGGGCTACGGAGCGTGTAAGGGGTGCGCCCAAAGTAGCTGGGGAGGATAGGGCCTTAGCTTGGTTTGAGCTACCTATTGGGCTGCGAAGCGTGTAAGGGATGCGCCGAAAGTAGCTGGGGAGGGCAGGAGCACGGGTGAGAGGAAGGAGCAGGAAAGTGGGAGATGAGGCGACTCGGGACGTTGTGTCTTCAGAAGAGGACCCAAGATCACAGGATGGCTGTGAATACGAAGCAGATGAATTATATCTTCATAGAAGGGAGCCCATCCCAACGAAACATAGCAAGCATACTGGACCGCAACTCACGCGAGAAGACTCGAAAAGGACATCGTCTCATATAACAGACAGCGGCGGCGACGGATTGTTGGATTTTAGTAGCGCCGTGTGCTCCCGACCCGCTTCACCCACCTTGCACATTGCGGCCGCCATATCCTTAGGGCCACCGGTGGTCCCTGGATGGCCCGCCTCGCGTCGCCGACGCAATACACGGCGTCACGCCGTCCAGGCGTCACGACGTCATGCCGTTATCATTACGAACATGCCCGGGAGTAGAACAGATGATAATATAGCAGAGCACAATACGATCTAAGACCACTGACTAGTTGAGTATATAGTGTAACAGAGCAACCCATACAGGATTTGAAAAGAGTAACCTGGGGCAGGACAGAAGAGAGAATAATCTGATTGGACACAGCACAATCAACCACATAATAATAAAGGGTGGCAGGACAGCGCTGAACAACACGTAACATGACAGGGCGGAAACGAAGATATTATCACATACCAGAGCATTATAAAACCCATTACCTTTGCAGAGCACATCAAAAAATAGACAGAAATCATAACATAAATTACTAGGGCAGATGATGTTACCAATAACCAGAACAGAGTATAGTCACATGCGCCATGACATAATATAGGACACACAACAGGCTAGACCAGCATAGATATAACAAAGGAGCCAGCAATCTCATCACATGATGCACGAGCGTGTAAGCAGTTCGGGCAGGGCACAAACGGAATACAGCACAATCTAGCGCAACTTCGTAATATAGTAGCTTCTGGTAGGGCAGCAAATACCACACCATTCTTCTATGTATCAAACGGGCCAAAATCGAACGGCACTAAACATACCATACTCAAAACGAGTAGAAGAACTTAACATATTGCACCACCGTGCAATATAACACAAGAGCACAAAGCATACGAAACCATACCATAATATGTTGGCATCGTGTCACATAGGAGAGCAGAAAACGTTCGACCACTTTTTCTTCTGCCATCATTTGCTCCGTCCGCCTCCTCTGACGTATGCTTGCATGCATCCTTTCAGTAGGCGCGCGCACCACTGGGGACAAACACCCAAGGTGTTGGTGGGCATCGCACCGCACGTAATAGTTGTGTGTGTGCTTGGATTTCGACCTGATTGATCGGTCGGGGCGCAGAGCGGTTCCTTCGATTTCGGTCAACAGGGGCTATCTTTCGGACGGGGCGCAGAACTACCCCCCGGAGCAGGAGTCGGGACCTCTGGGGCCGCGCACATTGAATTATCTTGGCAAAGGACTCCATCACATGCAGCTGCGAGTATCGCGAGGCACATGAGCCGAAGGCAGGGGGGCACGAAACGTGTGAGGGGTGTGCCTACACTGCCGCCATGCGAACCCTCCCACTGTGGGACCTTCGGTGGAGCTCCCTATGGGGCCATGAAGCGTGTGAAGGATGTGCCGAAGTAGGTGCGGTGGCGCGATGCGAACCCTCCCACTAGGCCCTTCTGCGAAGCTCCCTGTGGGGCCCCGAGACGTGTGAGGGGTGTGCCGACATGGGCGCGGTGGCGCCATTCGAACCCTCCCTCTGAGGAGGCGCCGTGCGGACCCTCTCAGTGGGTCCTTCGGTGGAGCTTCCTCTGAAGCCACGGAGCGTGTGAGGGGCGTGCAGAGATGGGCGGGGTGGCGCCATGCGGACCCTGCCACGGATGCCTTCGGTGGAGCTCCCTATGGGGCCATGAATCGTGTGAAGGATGTGCCGAAGTAGGTGCGGTGGCGCGATGCGAACCCTCCTACTAGGCCCTTCGGCGGAGCTCCCTATGGGGCCCCGAGACGTGTGAGAGGTGTACTGACATGGGCGCTGTGGCGCCATGCGAATCCTCCCACCGTAGCCTTCGGTGGAGCTCCTTGCTCCATATGGGGCCACGAAGCGTGTGAGGAGTGTGCCGGAACGGGCGCGGTGGCGCCATGCGAACCTTCCCAGTGTGGCCTTGGGTGGGTTCCCTCTGGGGCCAGGAAAGGTGTCAGGGGTGTGCCGAAAAACGGCGGCGGCGTGGGGCCACGAAGCGTGTCAGGGGTGTGACGCAACGTTGGTGGCGCCCCCACGCGGACCCTGCCACTGAGGCTTCAGATGGGGCTGTCTCGGGGGCCACGAAACGTGTTAGGCGTGTGCCGAAACGGTGGTGACGCTCGCACGTGGACCTTCTCTCTGTGAGGCAACGACGCATTTGAGGATTGTGCCGAAACTCTTGTGGCGCTTGGGGACCTTGCCATTTGGGCCTTCGATGGAGCTTCCTATGGGGACACACAGCGAATGAAGGGTGTGTCGAAACGATGGCGACGCCAGCATGTGGTCCCTGCCACTGGGGCTGGGGCTTTAGGTGGAGCTCCCTATGGAGGCACGAAGCGTGCGAGATTTGTGCCGAAACGGTGGTGACGCACAAATGTGGACCCTGCCATTGAGGCCTGCAGTCGTGCTCCCTGTGAGGCCACGAAGCATGTGAGACATGCGCCGGAACCGTGGTGACGCCCACATTCAGACCTTGCCATGGGGGTCTTCGGTGGAGCTCCCTACGGTGCCACGAGGCGTGCGATTGGTGTGCCGGAATGGGCATGCGAAGGGAGGGGCAGTGATAGGAGGAGGGAGGAGAGGGCGGGAGCGAGATAAGGTGAAACGAGTACCCAACGTTACAGGATGTTTGGGAAATTAGCCTTGCCAAGGACCCAACCATCTGCAGCTTTGAGCACCGCAGTCGTGAGTATCGTCTTCGGTGGAGCTACTTATGGGGGCACGAAGCATGTGAGGGGTGTGCCACAGTGGGATGACGGCGGCACGCGGGCGCTGCCACTGGTGCCTTCCGTGGAGCTCCCTAAAGGGCCTTCGGTGGAGCTCCCTATGGGTGCCACGAAGCGTTTGAAGGGTGTGCCGAAATGTATGCGGCAGGCGCATGCGAGCGTAGCCACTGGGGCCTTCGGTGGAGCTTCCTATGATGCCTCGGAGCGTGCGGGGAGTGTGCCGACGCGGCGGGCACATGCGGGCGCTGCGTGTTGGGCCTTCGGTAGAGCTCCCTCGCGGGGTCACGAAACGTGTGAGGGGTGTGCCGGAATTGGTGCGGTGGTCGCATGCGGGCGCTGACTTTGGGGGCTTCGGTGGAACTCCACGGAACGTGTGAGGTGTGTGCCGAAATCGGTGCGGCGGGCGCATGTGGGCGTTGCCTTTTGGGCTTTCGGTGGGGCTCCCTGTGGGGACCACGAAACGGGTATGAGCGGTGTGCCGAAATTGGTGCGGCGGGCGCGTGCGGGCGTTGCCTTGTGCGCCTTCGGTGGGGCTCCCTATAGGGGGCCGCGAAACGTGTGTGGCATGTGCCGCAATGGGTGCGGCAGGCGCATGCGGGCGCTTCTTTTTGGGCCTTCGGCTGAGCTCCCTGTGGGGCCACGAATGCTGTGAGAGGTGTGCCGCAATAGGCGCGGCGGGCGCATGCGGGCGCTGCCTTTTTGGACCTTTTCGTGAAGCTCCATATGGGGCCACGAAGCGTCTGACGTGTATGCCGACATGCCTGGCTGGCGCCATGCGGACGCAGCCATTCGGGTCGTCGTCGTCGCCGTCGTCGTGGTCGTCGGATGATGATGATGATGATGATGATGATGATGATGATGGTGATGATGGTGATGGTGATGGTGATGGTGATGATGATGATGATTTTGATGTTGTTGATGATGATGATGATGATGATGGTGATGGTGATGGTGATGGTGCTGAAGATGATTATGGTGATGCTGATGAGGAAGATGATAATGTTGATACTGCTGATGGCGTTGATGGCGACGACGATGCTTAAGTTCATGACGATGCTGATGATGGTGGTGATGATGATGACGACGATGTTAATGCTGCTGATGATGATGATGATGATGGCGGCGATGATCATGATGATGACGACGATGTTGATGACGATGGTGATGAAAACGATTATGATGATGGTGCTGATGAGGATCATGATGTGTATGAGGATGAGGGTGATGATGATGATGCAGATGGTTAGAATGGTAGTGGTGAGGGTGGTGATGGTGATGATGATGCTCATGATAATGATGATGATGATGCCGATGATGATTATGATGCTGATGATGGTGATCATAATGGTGATGATGTTGATGCTGATTATGCTGCTGGCTGTGCTGCTGACGGGGTCGATGCTGATGCTGTTGATGATCATGCTGGTGCTGATGATGAGAATGCTACTGATGGTAATGATGCTGACGATGATGATTATGGTGGTGGTGGTGGCGGTGATGAGTGTGAGGACGACGACGACGACGGTGATGATTATGATGATGGTGCTGATGATGATGATCATAATGATAATAATGATGATGATTATGCTGATTACGGTGCTGATGGTGATGTTGATGATGGTGTTGACGATGATGATGATGATGATGATGATGATGATGATGATGATGATGATGGTGATGGTGATGATGATGGTGATGATGGTGATGATGATAAGGGCGATGCTGTTGATGATGATGATGATGATGATGATGGTGATGGTGATGATGATGATGAGGGTGATGGTAACGAGGGTGATAACGATGATGATGATGATGATGATGATGATGCTGATGCTGATGCTGATGCTGATGCTGATGCTGATGCTGATGCTGATGCTGATGCTGATGCTGATGCTGCTGATGATGATGATAATGATGATGATGATGATGATGATGATGATGATGATGATGATGATGATGATGATGAGGATGATGGTGGTGGTGATGATGATGGTGGTGCTGAGTATGACGATAAGGACGTGCGGAGTGCGGATGGCAGAGGCAGGGATGGGATGAGGGAGGAGGGGGAGGAGGAAGGAAGGAAGGAGCGCTGGGCGCTGTCTCTTCTGAGCGAGGGCCCCACCCCACAGGATGACTGAGGAAAACAATGTGTCCGATGCTTGGGATCGTTGTCGTCGTCGTCGGCGCCGTGCGTCGTCGGCGCTGTCGCCGCGAATCCGTCTTGCGTCGCGGTCGTGGGCGCCGCCGTCGTCGCTCCGTGGTCGTTGTCGTGCGCCGCCCTCGTCGACCGTGGGGTCGTCGGGTTCGCCGTGGATTCGCGCGGGTCGTGGGCGGCGTCGTCGGTGGGTCGTCTGTTGGGGGGAGGACGGAGGGGGAGGAGGGGGAGGAGGAGGAGGAGGAGGAGCAGGAGGACAGGAAGAGGAGGAGGAAGAGGAGGAGGAGGAGGAGGGGCAGGAGTTACGGGAGTATGGGTTTTGCGATTGCGTCGGTGATTAAGCGGGAGCAGTTAAAACTTATTGATTCAGGCGTTTGTCTCTCTGGGTCTTGCTGTAGACCTTCGGTCACAGTGCATGTCATGGAAGGCTTGTAGGAACTTCTGGGGAGGGGACTTGGGACAGGAGGGGGCTTTGAAGCAGCATTGGCGCATCCTGAATTGACTCTAGTCCTCTTCCTCCTCTTTCGCCTCCTTCCTCATCCTCCTTCTGCACCCTCCTCCTGCTCGTCCTCCGCCGACGGCTAGACAACGAAGATGCCGACGCCGAAGCCGACGACGACGCCGCCGAAGCCGACAACGACGACGATGACGACGACGACGGCGGCGAGGACGACCACGACGACGACGAGGACGACGACGACGACGATGTCGAGGACGACGACGACCACGACGACGACGACGACGACGACGACGACGACGACCACGAACACGACCACGACCAAGACCACGATCACGACCACGACCACGACCACGGCGAGATCGGATGCTGCCAGAGGTGTCCCCGGCCCAGGGTGCACCCGTGATGTCCGAAGAGACACCCACGGCGTCCAGAGCACCCTTCGTGTCGGAAGCCGGGCAAGGGCTGCTAAATCCGTGGCTGCTAAAATCGACCTCCGGGAAGTTGTCCTCGTCCTTCCGGGAAGAAGCCCGTTGACTGTCTCGCGTGTCGCGCCTCATTCCGGGAAGTTGTTTGTTCCTTCCGGGAGGGCCGTTTTAGCAGCCACGGTTTTAGCAGCCCTCGCCCAGTTTCCTATCGTGAGTCCCCGAGGGCCCCAGGGGCTCTAAACCGGGCCAAAAGCTAGGGACCCCTCGTGCCAGGGGCGCTTGCAGCTTGCGTCTTGCATACCCCAACAGTCTGGACTCCTTCCCCAGGACCGGCGGTCCCGGGGCGCGGTGAGGGCCCCCAGAAGCCCCAAATGTGCGAAAGACATCTACCGTGATTTTCCCACGAGGAGGAGGAGGAGGAGGAGGAGGAGGAGGAGGAGGAGGAGGAGGAGGAGGAGGAGGAGGAGGTGGACGGGGACGGGGACGGGGACGACGAGGAGGAGGAGGAGGAGGAGGAGGAGGAGGAGGAGGAGGAGGAGGACGAGGAGGACGAGGAGGACGAGGAGGACGAGGAGGACGAGGAGGAGGAGGAGGAGGAGGTCAGGGGGAGCCGCCCCCGGCAGAGGCGGAGTGGGCCCAGAGCGGCCTCGAGAGCGCGCGGGGCCTCCTCCACGACCGCGCCAGCGAGTTCTCGAACTCCGCGCCTCCATCCCGCGAGCACAGCGCTCCGCCCTCACGCGAGGCCCGCCCCCGCCCCCAGCCTCGCGATACCCCCCGCGCGCGCGCGCCGCGGGGCGCCGCCGCCGCCGTCGGGGATCGGGAATCGGGCCTCGGGGTTCGAGGAGGAGGGGGTTAGGGTTGAATCGGGCATGTCCCTCCGCAGGAGGCATGCTCAAAGATAGTCCACAAAATTCCTGGGGACGGTGTTTCAATGATGGTTGGACTATGTGCGAATGTGTGACTCGTTGTGATTGCTCTTTCAGAAGATCCGCCTGCAGGAGGGCATGCCCGACCGAAGGTTCGGGGCTCGAGCCGTCGATCATCGGGGGCCGAGGTTCACGCTGTCGAGGTTCGGGATTCGAGCTGCCGGTGTTCGAAGGTCGGGGTTCGAGCCGTTGAGGTTCGAGGTCCGAGGTTCGCCGCTGCTGCCGTCGAGGGTCGCGCGTCGAGGATCGAGGATCGGCGTTCATGGTTCGAGTTGTTTTGACGCTGCTTGGCCTTTCACGGGCCGCTGGCGGCCTCGAGGCCTTCCTTGGGGCCCTCCATGAGACGTCCCGGGACCTTGGAGGCGGAGGGCGACGTCGGCCGTCGTCGTCGTCGTCGTCGTCGTCGTCGCCGTCAGCGCCAGAAGAGCAGGAGGAGGAGGGTTCGGAGGGAGAGGAGGAGGCTGGGGAGGGAGGAGGAGGAGGCGGAGGAGGAGGAGGAGAAGCAGGAGCAGGAGCAAGAGCATGAGCAGGAGCAGGAGCAGGATGATGAGCAGGAGCATGAGCAGGATGAGGAGGATGACTTCGCCTCCCTTCCGTTCTTCAGGGCACGCATTTTGCCAACACCTCGGGCATCGGTACACAGGCCCTAGGCCGATCGTGTGTTACGTTCCGATCCCAGTTCCTTGTTTATCGGTCATTCCTATTTAGATCGTGAACGCCTCCATAGACGCAACCGCCATCCAGCCAGTGTCCTTACCACGCAAATGGACGAGGAGCAGCAACAGGAGGAGGAGGAGGAGGAGGACGGGGTGGTCTGCGCAGTAGCAGGACCTGGTGTGGGTCATGGGGTCCTGTGAGGTTGGTTAGCCTGCGGGCTGAGTGTGGGTGGGCCTCTGGTGTTGGTGGTGGTGTGGCTCCAGTTCTGTGCGACGTCGGCATGGGAGTGAAGCTCTGCCTGGACTGGTGCTGCTGGAGCCTTGCGCTGTGGGCGTAGGTAGTTCGCGTTGACGTGAGCGTAGCGGTGGCTCTACGGTCAGGAACTTTGGCTTAGCGTGTCACTCCGCCGGTTCTGGCCCACCACGCTTCGGCGCGACACGCTGACCTTGTGCCATTCCCCAGGCGTAATGTCCCGAGCCTTTCGAAGCCTCCCGCCCCGCGGCGCGGAGCGACACGCAATCAGCTCGCAAGGGCTAGAGTGCCGCTGGGGCCGCCGCCGCGACACGCTGAGCAAAAGTTCTCGATCGTGGTGCCCCTGGCTGGGATCCCGCCGTCCGTCGCGGTGCGTGCGGGTGACCGCGGTGCGTGCGGGGGGCCATGGCGCGGCGACCCCGTGGACTGCGGGAGCGCGCTGGCGAGGGCGAGGGCGACGCGGCGCAGCGTCTGCCCGTGTTCCGGGCGCCCCACGCGGAGCCCTTGATCGCCGGTCAGTTTGGGCACGGAGCGACGGGGCAGCGGTCGGTGGACGACGCACTGTCGTGCTCTGTGGCAGGGTGCGGGGGAGCGTCTGAAGTTGGGTTGGGCTGGCGCTGGGTTCGTCTTCGGTGCCGTCGGTTGTGGAATCCTCGCCCTCGTCCTCCACCCACCTTCACCTCCCCAATTGACCCCTTCCCCGCCCCACTCCCTCTTCGTCCCCTCTGTACCCCTGTCCCCCCGCTCCTTCTCCTCCTCCTCCTCCTCCTCCTCCTCCTCCTCCTCCTCCTCCTCCTCCTCCTCCTCCGTCTCCTCCTCCTCATCCTCCTCCTACCTTCTCCTGCTACCTCCTCGCTCCGCCGCCTCATCCTCCTCCTCCTCCTCCTCCTCCTCCTCCTCCTCCTCCTCATCTCATCATCATCATCATCATCACCACCACCATCATCATCATCATCATCATCATCATCATCATCATCATCATCATCATCATCATCATCATCATCATCATCATCATCATCATCATCATCATCATCATCATCCGCATCCTTTGTTTTCGTATCTGCTATGCCTCCTCATCAGTATCTTCCCTCCCCATTATCGTCTCAACCTTTTGCGACGCTTCCTCTCTTCTACCTTCCTCCCCGCCTGAGGTTTGTGTGTTTCTTCTCGCTTACATGTCGCAAGCAGTCGCACCCTTCTCGGTTGTGGGTATCATCCCTCCCCCGCCTCCCCGTCATCCCCCTTCTCTCCTCCTCCCCCTCCCCCTCCTCGTCCCCCTGCTTCCCTCCTCCTCCTCCTCCTCCTCCTCCTCCTCTTCCTCTAGTGGCGTCCCTCCTCTTCCTCCTCTTCCTCCTCCTCCTCCTCCTCCTCCTCCTCCTTCCTCTCTCTCCTCTCCTCCTACCTCCTAGCTCCGCCGCCTCCTCCTTCTCCTCCTCCTCCTTCTCCGCCTCCTCCTCCTACCCTCGCTCCTCCTCCTCCTCCTCCTCCCTCCTCCTCCTCCTCCTCCTCCTCCTCGTCCTCCTCCTCGTCCTCCTCCTCGTCCTCCTCCTCCTCCTCCTCCTCCTCCTTCCCCCCCCCCGGCGACGACGACAACGGCGACGGCCACAAAAACGATCGACGATCAACGCCCACGGCGACGACGGCGACGACGACGACGACGACGGCAGACCACAACCACGACGGCGACGGCGGGCGGGGACGACGGACGACCCAGATATCGGGCCGCTTCGATTTTTTCGATGCGTGGGCACCGGAGGTTCAGACCAGTTCCCTACAAGCCTCATCAAAAATGAATTGAAAACGATAGTTCGAGCACTTGTCAGAAAATTTGTCAGGCAATTTATGTTTAACGAGTCTTGTAGGGCCGATTTTTCGTCCTGAGTCGCTCTCTGACGGTCTCGAGGCCCAGCAAGGGCCCCCAGAGGCCAGAAACGGCCCAAATCCGCCCGCTCCAACTTTTTCGGGGCGCTGGATCTCTGGGGCGACGGCGGACGATGCCGACGGCGGCGGCGTCTCGGATGTGGCCAGGACGAGGATACATCCGTTCCAGTGCGTTCTGGAACGCTCTCAGAGCGTCCCAGAACGCTTTGAGAAGGCTGCGGCGCCCGAGACATCCTCCAGAACCGCTGGATGTCAGAGATTCTCGATTTATCCTTACAGTCGGACCTAGGACAAAAGAACATCCTTCAAGAACATGAAGCCCTCCGCTGGCCAAATCACACAGAACATCCAAGGGTCCCCCCCCCAGGATGCACAAGCACATCCCACAAGCACGAAAAACATTGGGGTACCCTCCCCTAGCCGACATCGATCTTATACTTCGGTCCGACTGTACCCGATTTTATCCTCGTCCTGGCTTCGCCTTGTGGTCGCTTTCTTATTCATTGTTTTGCCGACCAGCGCGAGCCCTCGCAGCCCCCCTTCCCCCCCCTGGAGCAGTTCTTGGTTGTTCTTGGCGCCTGTGCCGAGCAGGTTGAGTCCCTCCCCAGCAGGACGCACTGCTGCAGACAATTGCACTAAGCAAAGGTCTGGAGCCAGACACCCCCTCCATCCGCTCCTTCCGCCCAGTGTCGAACCGCCGAGTCAGAAAACGCCAATCTTGCACTTCAGTCCGACTGTACCCGATGTTATCTTCGTCCCGGTTTCGCCTTAGAGTCAACCTGTACAGTCAGGATGAGCAACCTTCTCAAGGGTGCCCTTGCATCCTTGCCTCCTCGCCCCATCCTCGGCCAATTTCGCTGGCCGCGCCCCGCTCGAAAAGCCTCGAAGTGGCTCTTCCAAGGTCCTTGCATCCTCATCGTGCGTCCTCATGGCACGGGTTGTAGACGAGCGCGTTCCACTACACGCAAGCTGGCCACTCGCAAATGGCCTGGATCCGCCACAGGGGATCTGCGATAAGATGCATCAGAGCAGACACGTGTGTTTCGGGAAGCTTGCGAACAGGCACTTCGCGAGTAGAGCAACGCTCTCGGCGAGGTTGGCTGTGCTTCGGTCCGACTTAGGGGAACAAAAAGTGACATAAACATAAAAACTCCGAGGTCCGCGCGGATTTCTCGGATCGGCGCTGGACCCCCCTCCCTGGCGCGCGGAGCGCGCCAGGGGCGGCGCCGGAGGCGCCGCCGGGGGGCCCCAGCGCCGATCCGAGAAATCCGCGCGGACCTCCGAGTTTTTATGTTTATGCCACTTTTTGTTCCCCTACGACTGCACCCGGCGTCGGTCCTTGCCCTGGCCTTGGCATCGCTCGGACCTGTGCTTGTTTTTTTCGTTTCGGCGAGGACATGCGAGGCGCATCCTTGATCATTTGACGATGAATTCCACGCTCGAAACCGAAAAAAACATATGGAATGGACGTCCGAGCGATGGCCAGTGGCTCTGCCTCGGCGCCGCCCGCCGCGGCGAGCCCGCCCTGCCGCCGCCAGGGCTCCGGCCGCCTGCCGGGCGTGCCGCGCCCCGCGGAGCGGCCGCCGCGCGAGGGGCGCCCGCAGCCGCGGCTGCCGAGGCCCGCCGCCCACGCCTCGGGCGTTGCCCGACGACGACGACGACGCCGACGACGACGACGACCACGACGACGACCACGACGACGACCACGATCACGACCACGACGACGACCACGACCACGACGACGACGACGACGACGGCGACGACGACCACGACCACGACCACGACGACGACGACGACGACGACGATGACGACGACGACGACGACGGCGGCGGCCACGACCACGACGACGACCACGACGAGGACGACGACCACGACCACGACCACGACCACGACTAGGACCGGTGACCGCGCGGCGAGATCGGGTGCTGCCAGAGGCGCCCCTGGCCCATGGGTGCCCCCAGGATTTCCAAGGTCCCAGAGACCCGACGCCTCGAGTAGAAATATAGTGGAGCGGCAAGATTTGGGCTAGGTTCGGCCCCGGGAGGCCCTCGCCGGGCCTTGGGACCGTCGAAGAAAGACTCGGGGCGAAAAGCTGGCCCTGGGGAAGCGGTCCAGACCTCCGGGGCCGCGGCGCCACGCCCGCGGCTCCCCGGCGCCCGCCGCCGCACCCCCTCGTGGCGGTCTGCGCCCAGGGGGGCAGGGAGGGGGGAGGCTTCCCAGAAGCCCTCCCCTCCCCCGATACCCCCGCCCTCCCCCTGCGCGTGGCCGACCACCCCACCCCCCTCGCCTCCTGGCCGGGCCGCCCCCCGCCGCCCCAGCCCTCAGGCGCTCTCCCCCCTTGGAGGCGCCCACCCGGGGGGATCATTAGCGGGAGGGGGGGAGGCTCCTTAGCGAAAGGCTGCTTTTTAGAAGGTGCCGGCCTTACATCTGTGGGTGAGGCCCCCGCCCTCTGAGAAGCAGCCTCCTTCTTCGAAGAGGCCTCCAGAGCACCCTTCACGAGGCCCAGAGGGCCCCAGGGGCTCATGAATGGAGCGAAGAGCTGGGGCACCTCGGGCCAGGGACTTCGGCAAACCCAGAGGTACCTTGGGAGGGATTTCTTGGTTGCCGGGCACGGCTGCAGCCCACGTGCACCCCAGGAGGGGGGGGCGAAACCTCCAGGGGGGGAAACCTCCAGGTCTGAAACATTCCATTCAAGCTGCACAGCGAACAGAAAGAACAGACAGATGCGCCGCGCACTGTGCAAGCACGGCTGCACACCTTAGATATGACAAAAACGCTCGGGAAGGAAAATCGGCGGCCAGCCCCGGGGGGGGGAAGTTTCGGGAGTTTCGGGTTCGACCTTCGAGGTTTTCCGGCGTCGTCGTCGTTCTCGGCGAAGTGCATTGCCCGCTTGTTCAGGACCGCCTCAGGCGCGGTGGCTTTCGGATGCGGCTGAGGCTGCAGGAGGAGGCTTCCTTAGAACATGTCAGATCGTTTGGGCATCCTCGGCGAGGCACAGCTGCTGCAGAGCAACCTGGTGCTGTCAAAGTCCCCCCATTACGCTCCGTGGTTCGAGCGCTGAGGCGAGGAGAGACTTTTTCAGGAGGAGGAGGAGGAGCAGCAGCAGCAGTAGCAGAGGCGGCGGCGGCAGAAGGAGCGTGACAGTTGGAGAAAAAGAAGAAGACCCAGAAGCCCGAATGCGGCGACACAAGCCTGGGACCCTTAAATTTCCATGTCGGCCTTTAGAAATCGACCCCTAATTTCTCCCAGGGTGAGCTCTGGCAAGAGTCTCGTGCAGAGTGCGGCCGTGGCCACGAGGAGACCCGCGGAGGCCCGGAAGGGGGCGCAAAACGCGCAGGAACCTCGATCGATCTTCAAAGCTCGACCTCCTCGTTTCGGTGAGGCACGCCCCGGCGCGACATCCCTCCCCCCCCCCCCCTGCGCGTTCCGCGGCAGGCCGCCCTCGGGGAACAGCCCGGCGGGCGCGCACGCGGCCGCGGCGAGCATCAGCCCGCGGTCGCGCGAAGGCCTCCCGGCCGAGCGTCTGCCGCCTCGCCCCGAGAAGCTCCGCGGGGTTGACGCACCCCATGTCGGGCCGCGGGCCGCGGGCCGCGAGGAGGAGGAAGGCCAGAGCCGAGGGCGAACAGAGCCGAGGGTGAACGAAGCCGAACACTGCCCCTCCCCCTCCTCCCCCTCCTCCCCCTCCTCCTCCTCCCCCTCCTCCTCCTCCCCTCCCCTCCCTCCTCCTCCTCCTCCTCCCCCTCCTCCTCCTCCTCCTCCTCCTCCTCCTCCTCCCGAACCTGCTGAACATGAGCCCGAATAGTAAGGATGAGCAACTGTCCAAGGTTGCACCTGCATCCTTCACCTTCGGCCCATCCTTGGCCGCTTTTGCTGGCCGTGCCCCGCTCGCAAGGTGTCGACATGGCCGTCCAAGGCCCATGTATCCTCATCGCGCGTCCTTGTTATACGGGTGGACTGTGTGGAACATTTGTTTTACTTCACGCCTCTTTTTCCCAGCATCGTTTTTTTTGTCACCCGGATGTTCGTTAATCCGTTGTTTGTTGTTGTTTCCCTCAGGTGTTCTCACCACGGGCGCCCGTCTCCTCTTCAGGGGCAACGTGAAGGGGGGGATAGGCTCAGGGGCAGCGCATCGACCCCCAGTCGCCCACTGATCGCCAGCAGGGCTCCAATAGCCCACCCCGCCTTAGCGATGTATCGTCAATCCAAGCTCGATGTTTCCCCCACTGAGCCAGCCTCCCCACACAGTCAACCCGCACGGTAAGGACGGGCAACCTTCCCAAGGGTGCCGCTGCATCCTTGCGTCCTCGGTCCCTCCTTGGCGACTTTCGCTGGCGGCGCCCCGCTCGGGAAGCTTCGAAGTGGCCTTCCAAGGCCACTGCATCCTCGTCGCGTGTCCTTGCGATACGGGCCGACTCTATCGTGGACCCTCACCTTCCCCCGGGGGTCGAGGCTTCGTATGGTGCCGCGCGGGGCGCCGAGCGAGCGTCCCCCACCCATGGCGCTCCTGTGCGCGTGGGTGTGTGTGTGTGTGTTGTGTGTGTTGTGTGTTGTGTGTTGTGTGTTGTGTGTTGTGTGTGTCTGTGTGTGTTGTGTGCGTGCGTGCGTGCGTGCGTGCGTGCGTGCGCGTGTGTGTGTGTGTGTGTGTGTCTGTGCGCGTGTGTGTGTGTGTGTGTGTGTGCGTGCGTGCGTGCGTGCGCGTGTGTGTGTGTGTGTGTGTGTCTGTGCGCGTGTGTGTGTGTGTGTGTGCGTGCGTGCGTGCGTGCGTGTGTGCGTGCGCGTGTGTGTGTGTGTGTGTGTGTGTGTGTGTGTGTGCGGGTGTGTGTGTGTGTGTCTCTGTGTGTGTGCGCGTGTGTGCGGGTGTGTGCGCGTGTGTGTCTGTATCTTAGTTGCCTCGGTACGCCCGTTTTGATACGCAATACGTTCCGGGTTCAAGACGTCCGTGTCAATACGCTGCGTATTGCTCCACGTATTGGACCCCGTTTTGGCGAGTGTATCGCGTCGGACCTACGTTTCAGCCTACGTGTTCAGCTCCGTACGAATACGCTACGTGTTGCGTTTTGCGTATCGGGGCAGCTAAAGTCTGTATGTGTGTGTGCGCGTTCGTGCGAGCGTGCGTGCGTGTGTGTGTGTGTGTGTGTGTGTGTGTGGGTGTGTGTGTGTGCACGTGTGTGTGTGTGTGTGCACGTGTGTGTGCACGTGTGTGTGTGTTTGTGTGTGTCCGCGCGCGTGTGTGTGTGCGTGCGTGCGTGCGTGCGTGCATGCGTGCGTGCGTGTGTGCGTGTGTGTGCGTGTCTGTGTGTGTGCGCGTGTGTGTGTGTGTGTGT